TTATTCTGTGGTTTTAGCGCTTTTTTTTTCTCGAAATTGTACGCTACTTATGCTAGTTCTAGAAAACCATTTTTTCTTTTTCTATTTTTTATAGTGAAGTGTTTTCCATCTTAGTTTTTTTGTTTCAGTTTTTGGCTGATGTGTGAGGCGATTACAGTCATAATACGACTCGAAGTTTATCGAAATTCACCACTAATAAACTTCCAGCTATCAACAGCATCAGGTGAGGTCATTTCAGGTCTTTTTTCCTCGCACTTTGCTATTGCTGTTGTTATTTGCTTGCTTTTGCGAAGCTGTTCTTTGGGCAAAAACTTTATTAAGGTTGTAAAAATTGCCTACTATACAAGTGTTGTTACTACTTTCGGCTTTGTTTATATGAATCTATTGTGGTATTACTTACCTGTTTGCAGTTTACTATTTTCTTGCAAATATAGAGTCGTTTGCAGTGTTCTTGGAGTTAATACTTCTGCTTTCAATCACCTTTATTCTCCCAAAGAAAACAGTGGGTTTACAGCTACCACTTTTAGTAAATGGAGATATTTTTCTCAGAATAGAAAGTCCATAAGCCTAACTGAGTTGTAGTACACTGCTGAAGTGAAAGAAAAAAAAAGATTATTTGTACAAAGCAAAATACATTGGACTGAAATAATGCGTGTCGTAAAAGTGTCTAGTAATAATGCGTAGCATAATTAAGAAAATGCCTGATAATACTTGGTTAGTTTGATAATGGCTGGTATAATCGGCAGATAATTATGTTTGCTCAAAAAGGCAGTAAAAGTTATTGACCACAGAGAGCAAACAACCGTAATACTTGCATTTCTGATTGCTGTTAGTTAGAAAAATCTAAAAAAAAAAAAATAATAATAATTTGACGGCGTATTAAAATACTAAAGTAAGATGTTCTTTTATAAGCAGCTTCTAATACCTTCCCTTACTCTTATTTTAAAACAGTTTGTTTGCCTTTTTTTGCTCTGTAACTTGGCAAGTTATAAATAAGTTATGAACTTCTAATGATACACTCATTGTGTCGTGCGCATTTATGGACATGCTGGGCAAATATTCTCCGTATCAGGTCTAATTTTTAGTAGTTTTAATCAGAAGAAAAGAGGGGTAGTTTACAGATGTAATATCATCTAGAAGATTGGGGCTGAAGATACTCTGACCTTTACTCTTGAGATGACTTTGTGACCGTAAACTGCAACTGGGGGGTTGGTTGTGTCCTCCGTTTGGAATAAGGATTGACAATATCTGTGTGTAATTTCCAATTTTAGTTGCAGAAAAGTCGAGGGAGCTATAATTTCATCAAATTCATTGATTTAATTGCTTGTTGCAAAAGTCTTTTAACTTTTCACGTATGAGATGAAAGATAACCAGTGTGTTGAAATAAAGTGAAAAAATAAACTGTTTAGTTTTTTAGAATTTTATGTGTTTTATTTTGGTTACTGTTTTTTCCTTTATCCTATTTGGCACTATAGTTTCATGTTGTACCAAAGACCCGATAATGTGAGCTTTCTTGATTTAGAAAATAAGAAGAAGAAAGTAACAATTTTAAAAGCGATGCCTGTGGGAAACAGAAGCAAGAAGGCCATTGCTCGAGCAGCTGCGGCGAAAACCGCCTTACCGCCTGTAGCTGATAATGCAACTCCAGATAAGGTCTGGATAGTGGCATTTGCATGTGTTTGTTATTCAATAGAAGTAAGAGACTACGATTGCTTTTCATGCTCCATATTAGATGCACAACAAGGAATCTGTTATAAAGGGGTAACTGTCAAAGATAAGGTTGCAACTGGAGATCTGTGACAATTTTTGAACATTATGAGTGTATTTTGTCGGTTTATTTGGCTAACCAACTAGTTATTGTCTTTGCATTTGTTACAAATCTTTTGTTTTTCCAGGAGAAATCTAATCCTAGTGAAGTAGAATGCCTGGGACGCAGAAAATATGCTGATGTTGTCGTCCAAACTTTTACTGGGGATCAGTTGGCTAGTGTTTCACAGGAAAACGTTTTAACCATTGAGCAACCGCAGGGGTGCTCTATGCAACCAACTACTTCCGGTTCATCATTGTCGTCAAAAGCCAGCACTGAATTATCTGGTGAGGTGTTTTTATGTGGTAAAGTTCTGTAAGCGTTTTTCGTAGGAGCATGTTCTTTTCATTAAACTTATTTTATTGCAAGTACACGGCTAGTAATGTCTCACATAGTTCTTTCAACTAGTTCTGTCTTTTTATGGGTCTTTTTTTAGAAACGCAAAAAATCCCTTTCTTTTCTGGAAATCCAGACGTTGAAAAGACAACTGGGCTTCTTCATCTTTATAAGAAGAGGTATTTTTGCACTTCTGTGTTTGCAAAGATTCCTGCAAAACGCTTTTTTTGACTGATGGTGGTTTGCAAGACGTGGTTCAAAAAAAAAAGAGTATTTAGAAAGAAGGAAAGAGAGAGGAAGGAAAGCGGATGAAAAATTGTTATTTTTCAAAGTCAGTTACACAAGTTTTAAACTTGAAATTGTCACCACAGTTCATTTTCAAGGAATTATTTCGCCTAAGGGACTTTAAGCCACTCGGTTTTTGTTCATTTCAGTATTATAACGGTAGCCTCTTTAGCGATAATCCACAGACCATGGAGTGTTCTATGCTTTGTATGATTGGGGTGCCATCTTTAGTGACGCTACAAGAACTCATTAAGTTTGTATCTCCTCATTCCTCGACCATTGACTGGATGAAGATAGTGCGCGACCAAATGCCTAATCAGTATATGGTCATTATAGGGTTCAAGTCGCACGTATGTTTTTCTTTAAAATTAATCTTTACATCTGCGCTTTTTTATACGATAGAAGAAGTGACGCTATACTTTTGAGTTGGCAGTCTGAGCAACTTTATAAGGCATTTGAACTTTCGTTTTTGTTTATTTATTTGAATATATTTTAAAACTTCTTTTGCTAGTTGGGTGGCGATATTGAAGTAGGGGATTCTTATGGAGGTTCCAAAATCTTGACTCTTATTTTTTTTTCTCTTTCTAGGATATTTAGAGTTGCTTTTCCAAATACTATGTTTTAAGGAGATTGCTGTACAGTTTTTCAAAGATTATAACGGAGCTCCCTTTAGTGCGATTGAACCAGACAAGTGTTCTCTTGTCTTTGTCGAAAGGATTGAAATGGTAATACTTTGTGCAATATTGCGAATTCTCGTGTTTTCTTGTCGTTTAAAGTTCATAGTTCTTATTAGGTTAAAGAAGGCGATGGTGGTAGCTTGCCAATGGAATCTGTTACGGAATTGCCTACTTGTGCTGTTTGTTTAGAGAGGATGGATGACGATGTTTTAACAATACTTTGTAACCACACCTTCCATGCTCAGTGTCTTGAACAGTGGACCGATACAACGTTTGCTTTTTGAAATTTTTTTAGTTACAATTTTTTTCATTACTGATCTTTTAATGGACCCGAAAAGCAGTTTGCTAATATAAGATTCTTTTCTTGTGAGGATTGAAATGACGAAACTTACAAATCTGTTTGTATTATAGTCTATCACTCAGTCGTTTACGCAATTTTTAGATGCCCTGTTTGTCGTTACCATCAGACTCCTGAACTTCAGTCTGATCAAAAATGTTTTGACTGTGGTAAAACTACAGATTTGTGGATATGTCTTATCTGTGGTAATATTGGTTGTGGTCGTTATGCAGATGCTCACGCTTACAGGTAACGTAGGGACTTTGCTTAATGCTAATAGCAGCATCAGTTTATCATATGCATTAGTTCGACTTCACTCTTTTAGACACTTTGAGATTACCTCACACACTTTTACGATGCAAATTGGTGGTGGCCGTGTGTGGGATTATGCAGGGGACAATTATGTTCACCGCTTGATACAAAATTCTACAGACGGTAAAATGGTAGAATTCCAGAATGGAGCTACCAATAATGCCGAGGTAGAATAAAACTTTATATTTTTGCAACAAGTTATTTACATTTTTCTTAACTTATGGCTATTTTACACGTCGAATTTTCGTCTAAGTTATTGCACCTGCAGGTACCGTCAGAGGAGAAGACTGAAGCTATACAACTGGAGTATACCTGTTTATTGACCAGTCAGTTAGAAAACCAGCGAAAATTTTTTGAAAATAAGTTAAAAGAAGCGGAACAAAGGGCAGAAAAATTCGAGGTCTTTGCAAATGCACAGGTTTGTGGTGCTATTTCTTACTGGAAGTTTTTAGCTTTAGTTTCACTGTTTCTTTTTAAAACTTCCAAGCGTAAATGAGGGATTGAGGTTTGTCTTTATTTTGTAGATAGAAAGTCTTAATGACCAAATAAGTTTGCTTCATAAAGAAAATGACAAGATGAAGCGCGAATTGACTGAATCTCTGCAAGCTAAACAGGCGGTTGAAAAGAAGTTACAGAATTTGACAACCAAACATAATAAAGTAAGTTCAGAAAAAGTAAAAATGCTTTGTTTGGAGATATGCTTTTCTTTTTAAAACAATTTGGAACAGAGGAAAGTTTCCTTGAAATTTTTTTTGTTCTAAGTTGTTTTCACTTTTTTAAAGAGCTGTAGCATAGTAAGTTGCTTTGTACGAGGCAGTATTTGATAATAATTTTGAAGTTTAGAATTTAGGAAAATTAAACCTTGGTTAAATGAAAAAAAAAGAGACATAAACAATTTTATATTTTGGTGTACGCGTTAAAAGAGTTTGGGGTTTTCTTTCCTTATTTCGCTAGAAGTAGGAGTCACATTTCTTCCTTTCTTTTTTTGTTTTCATATTTAAAGGATTTGATTTTTTCTTTTGACTTGCTTAGGCGCGTTATTCTTTTGTGTGTTCACTTTTATTAGTGAGGGTCTTCCACAAGCAATAATTTGTTTATAAGTTTTATTGGTTTTTTGCATATCATTAAGAACATATTTGAGGTTGAGTTGTCGTGGTTTTTTTATTTTCTGCTTGTTTAATGTTGTTTTCGTTCCCCAATACTTATTTTTTAAAAATTTCAAAAGTGGCAAGGTCAGTCTCTTTTTTTTTTATTTTGATTTCATTGTAGATCTTGTCAGAATTAAGTGAGGAACGTACAATGAACTCTCTTTTACGTGCTGATCACGAGAAATGGACCAGTAAAGTTGCGGAGTTGAATGAAGAGAATCGAACGCAACAAAGTCGATATAATGCTGTAAGTTATTTGGCAGAAAAATGTTATGAAAATGTTATAATGTTAAAATGTTAACTTTTATTACTGTTTTATCATTGTCAATTTTCTGAGGTCAAGAGAACCTAATAGGTAGCGAGAAACCTGAAAGGTTTATCTTTTTTCATTTACTTTTATTTTTGTCATTCTCACTAGTGATTAAACTGTTGACCAACTCCATTATAATAAAATTAAATTTGGAGTTCTATCTGATGATATCAGTTATCTAACAGCAGTTTTTGCATCAATTGGTGTTATTTGTTGTTAAGGAAATTACTGATCTGAAGGAACAAGTGCGTGATCTTATGATGCATTTTGAAGCGCAAAACAAGTTTCAAGAGACTGTGAAAGCCGAGCAAGTTAGCGAAAAGGTAAAACTCTCTTAGGAAAGCTTAAAATTTTAATAGGTTTTACTATTTCTCGCATTTCTTTCTAAATATTTCTACTTGTCTCAAAAGATGTTCTTTTTCTTTTAATTTCGATTATGTTGCAGCCATTATTTGCAGCGAATAGTGCCGTTAGAATTTCTGGTTCAAAGCCAGGACTATGTGAAAAGATATAGAAGTACACGCTGTTTGATTTTAGGAACTTCGAGAAGGTGTTTTGACCGTTGAAAGTTCACCGTCTAAAACGAAACGGCGGAGCAAAAAATCATAACTTTTCTTGATTTTTTTCAAGAACTTCATAATTCGACTACAGTTTGCGTAGTTTGTGATTGTGATTCTGAACAGATTCCTGGATTGAGCGCGATTTCAACTGAAGTAAGAAAAAATCGCAAGAAGTACGGTTTTTCAAATATCGTACTTTGTTCTTGCGATTACTTTGCTGAGCTCTTTTCTTTTTTCAAGTCTTGGTTATTTAAACCTTTGAAGTTCAGGGCTTACTAGGCATTGAAGCCAGAATGGTACTTTATAGCATGGAAATTGTGATTTTGAGTCGAAATCGAACTGTATTGTTTTAAATGTGATATGATGTTTCTTCATATCTACGTGTTGTAACGTGCGGCAAATTTAGGTTATGTGTCATTAACAGTTCTTGAAATTTTATATCATTGGCATGTCGTTTGCCTTGTTCATATAACCTGATGCGCCTTGGTATTAGTCTTTCACCTTACAACCCAGCTCCTATCTTGTTATTTTTTCTCTTTTTCTATAAAGTTTATTTTGGCCAAAAGTATTAGTGATAGTAGTTTTTGCGGCCAACAACTTCTGGTGCTTTTTCTTCTTTTTTGAATAAGTTTTTTACCTTTGCGTAAATGGGTGCTATTCATAGCATAATGTTTCTTTCTCTCTATTATATTAAAACAATCGTACAAAAAGGATTTCACTGGACAATGTGGTTTTTTCTTTGGTTCGGTGACGTGAAGTTTTTTGCATTGATGAAGGAGAATTTGTCTGTAGGAAGCTTTCTGAGCTGCTAGAGCTATAAATAAGCGTTCACGTTTTTTGAGTCAAGTGGGTACGGCAAAGTAATGTCGTTGATAACATCGACTGGATTAGTGTTTTTGAGGATGACCGATATGTGAAGTATGAATGTAAAGGGATTTATTGCGATTGGCGGTGTTAAAAACTTGGAGTTTGATGAATAAAGTGACTTGGATTGTGGAAGTTAACTGTTGCAGCATGAAAATTTATTTCAGAGGATGAAAGAGAAGGTAGAGGTTACGTAGTAGTGTTCTTAGAAGTTCCTAGAAGTGTCAGTGAAGATTCTTTATGGCGTTTGCTGACGTCTCAAAAACTTCTCATTTTTTGTTGGTAATGGAAGCCGGAATGCTTGCATGCTTCAAAATTTGAGATTTAAATAATTAAGAAATTTTTTTTTTTTGGCGGGGGAGGTTCTTGGCGAGAGTTTTGACCGACAAAGAAGTCAAGAAAGACAATGTAAGATTTTTATAAGCATCTCATTAACTTGACACGTATCAATGCATTTGAATTTTGAAACTGCATTATTCAAAAGAAATAGGTACTATAGTAAAATAAGCAAAATTTTTTTTATTCTTATTTAACTATACAAAAATAATTTTATTGTCGGGAATTCCGAAATATCGGTATAATAGCTGTAGAAACGGTTATAATCATTGGGGTACGGTTGGAGCATTATTTTTTCAAAATACATGAGAAGGATTTGATAGCTACAGTTGCAATCATTATTTGTAACGTGTAATAGTTTCTTAAAAAAGAGGGAATATCAAGAAGTTTTTGAAATCTTTACATGTTGGACAACTGTTTTGATTTCTGAAAATCAAAAATATTTTTTTGTACTTTGTCATAAAGTCACTGTTTTGATGAATGATAATAAACAAAAATCTTGTTTTATTCATCTGACATTTTTCAATGGGTTATTGTTTTTGTTGTTGTTGTTGTTGTTGATTGCTGCTGTAATGAGGAAGCTAGATTTGATCTAAAAAAAAATTTGATGAAATGTAACTATTTTGCCAATGTGGTCTGTAAATATTGTCTTGTTTTTGCTTTTGTTTCTTTTTTTTTTGAATCTTATTTATTCAAGAAAAGAAACACTTGGAATCTCTTTTTTTTTCAGCTTCATTTACAGTATATTTTGAAGTTGAAAACAAAAGAGGAAGAAGAAGAAGAAGGAGAAGAAAAAGAAATATTAGAAGGGAAAATTAAAATGACAAAGATATGACAAGTTAAACTGTCTATTTTCAGATTAATTTTTTTTTTTGTCAATTTTGTTTTATAAATTCATTAAGTTTATGATGTCCTAATTTACAAACAGCAGTTGTCATCAGTAACTGGACCTGATACCCTGTGATCGGTGGAACTGTCATCAATTTTTTGCATAAAACCATTTGGCCAGAAAATTTGATGGATAGATCAAATCTGTCCTCTGTGTGTTACTTTAGTTTTACCAAAACTATATATTCTTTATTTTTGTATGTAAACAACAACAAGAAGAAGAAGAAGAAGAAGAAGAAATAAACGAACAACTGTAACAGAAGTGATTTGGTTTGAATGCAAAAAATTTGATTCTTTTAAAGAATTATTTTAAATTGGAACAAATTTATATGTGCAGAAAAAAAAAAAAA